CACATTGGGGAAAGTCTGGGATGGGAGAGGCCAGGGTGTGCCTGCCTGCTGGGAAGGTGAGACAGCCAGAAACCTGCCCTGGGGGGTCGGATGCTGGCAGTCGCACAGACTAGGTGTCAGCCAACCAGTGCTGAAGGAGAGTAGTTCCACCCCTGCTCCCTCCCCAGCCTGGGCTAGTCTGAACCCCTGACAGAGCACAGGGACTCTGTGGTTGTGCAGGGCAAGGAAGAAGAGGCCAGTTTGTGGGAGTGGAAGGCTCTGGCTGTGTGTTTTCAGCATGCCAGGTAAGAGAGCCCTGCTGGGGTGGGCAGGCGGGGGTGCCAGTATGTAGGTGCTTATGTTTGCTGCACCTTGATCTTCAGGTGGCAGCAGTGGTTAGAAGTGCCTTCACCCACCCACTCCACGTGGTGAGAAGGCTGCCACCCTTTCTTTCAGATTTGGATCTCCTCTGCTTCTGGAACCCCGAGGGTAGACTACTGCAGTTCTGCCCTCGATGACTGTGCAGAAGGTGCAGCTGGTGCAGAATGCGGTGTCCCGCCTTCTGATGGGGGTGGGCTGCCAGGAGCATGTTACTCCGGTGCTCCAGAGTCTACACTGGCTCCCAGTGGCTTTCCAAGTGCAATTCTGAGACTCTAAACAGTCTGGGCTCCCAGTATATACCTAAGCAGCTGCCTTATCCCTTATGTCCCATCTTGATCCATAAGCTCAGCCAAGAGCGACCTCCTGCAAGGATCATCTGTGGACCAATTTTGGGGATAAGTCACAGGAGGTAATTTTTGGTAATTGCTCCTTAGCCCTAGAACTTCTTCTCCCTTGTGGTCTGTCAAAACTCAAGTCTAGGCTTCTTTTTGAGAAGAGTTGTAAGACCTTTATTATTTGGTCAGGCCTTTAGTAGGTAGGGCTTAGTTTGGGGGCATTGTCTGCAGAGTTTGTTCTATTACATATTATCTATTTTAATATTCCTCCTGTCTTTGTAATGTGTCTGTTTTTTTTGTTTTTTTTAATTGTAATCTGCCCTGAGCCTGTGCTGGGGAGGACTGCAGATCAATTTAATGAATAGATAAGTGATGGTATATCAGTGGGAGCCAACCTTTTTAGCAGGGATGGAGTGCCACTCCAATCCCCTTCCCCTGCTGGATTTGCTGCTCTGCTTTCTGCTCCCTGCCCCCTTCCCAATCTGCCACATGCCATGTACAGAGACTGCCTGTGCCACTTGTTCAGCCTGTTCTTGTGCTGGAGGGAGGACATCTGTGAGAAATCCCCCTTGTTTAGGATCTGAGAGGTAGCACAGACCGTTACCTGGCCAAATCTGCAGTGACAGAGGTGGAGTGTGTGTGTGTGTGTGTGTGTGTGTGTGTGTGAGAGAGAGAGAGAGAGAGAGAGAGAGAGAGAGAGAGAGAGAGAACTAGTACACTATGCCTGGATGTCTGATGGCTGTGATTTCATTGGATTGTCTAGGATGTCTCAGCCCTACACTGGATGGGCATTGCCACCAGACCTAAGTAAGAACCTAAGCTGAGGGTGTCAGTGGAGATGCACATGTTTACTGCAGCTCTGAACTGGGCCTGTTTAGATTTATTCACCACACCTCTAAGCAGCTCCCTCCCAGTGGGACTCCAGTGATGGAGCTACACCCCTCCCCACCTCCCCCACTCCAGGTCTGTTGCAGGTGGGGACTGGAAAGGGACATTCGGTGCCCACTTTCAGTCAGACAGAAACTTTCATAGAAACCACTCTACCCACGTCCAAGGACCTGAAGTGCCTTTGCCCTGCCTTGGATGTGCTGCTGCTGGCAGAGGAGAGGAATTCAGGCCTAGGTTGTCTCTGCTGAAACTACCTGCCAGGAAGCTGTTTGTTGATTGAATAGGCACACAGCACCCAGCTGGATTTCTTTCAGGAGGATTTAAGTCAAGCCCACAAGTATGCTGCCGAATAATAGAGCTCAGAACTGCAGCCAAGCCAGCTTAAGAAACCAGGGTGCCTTCTACAAGCTCTGTTCAATTCCCCTTCAGGACTCTGCCCCTGAGCTAGTGAATTAATCACAAATGGGGGATGAACATCCCTTGCAATAATGCAACATCTCCTTTGTCTCTAGGGCCTCTCAGCCAACAGAAAGGTTACGGGCATGGAGTGCTCTAATTACATCATGTACACCGGACCCAGGAATACATGAGCCTTTACTTAATGGATTAACTCCTGAACAAATCTTTAGCTGGCATCCTTGCTATGCAGGCTGGTAATTTAGAGTCCTAAGATACTGCTCTCACCCTGGGGGCTGTTGAAGGAGGTGGAGATTTCCTCTCATTTGCCGTGGTGGAATTTGAATCTGCTGAGCTGCCAGGGAGATTCCAGGCCACTTTGTGCATCATTGGAATCAGGGCCAGGATTTTTATCAGTCTTTCTGGAGGCATAGATGTACATAGAGAAAGGAAAATGGCTTCCAGCCTGAGGAGACCTATACTTTATAGCTGAGCAGGAGGGTCAGAGAGAGGGCTTGTTTTGAATAATGAAGCAGTTCCCATTCCCTAAGGGAAAGTAATTTGGCAGCTGAGTTGGTGACTGTTTGGAAAAAATGTGCTTGCACTTTACCTTGCGCTTGCTCGTAGTCTGGGCTGTGCCACTAACTGGGGCAACTCATCTGCTAGTGTAACTGGGCCCAGCTCCCTTGACACTAGTGTCCATTTCCATTAGAAGTGAATTGGGCTGCTGTGCCAGATGTTTGTGATGCCCCAGTTTAAAAGGTGCAGCATGTTGTGAACATGCCCCCTAGATTCCCTTTGCTTCCAGTGCCTCAAGCTGATCTATACGGGAAATTGCATTCTAGACCACTGGTTCTCAACCTTCTTAGATCCAAGGCACCCCTCAGCAAATGCCGGCTGTGAGCTTTCGCTCAGTTTTTTGATTATGGAAAACTTAATAGAGCAGTTCTTCTACTGCAAAAAACTCAGAAAGACCACAATAGGTCATTAAGTTTTTAATGCTCTGGATTCCTATTTGAAATCTCTGGGTTTATCTTGTGAATCATGTCAGTGTTTTCACACCTATCAGTGCTAATATTGTGTAGCACCCTTAAAAGAGTCTTGCAGCATCCTGGGATGCTGTTGCACCCTGGCTGAGAATCACTTTTCTAGCCCCTCTTCTGACTTCCTGAAGCTGACGTATCGGGGAAATGCAGCATTAGACCATCTCGCTGTTCTAGGGCTTCATAGGGGATATTTTGACTTCCCCTTAGAAACACTTTGCTCCCCAGGTCTGAACTAGCAGGCTAGGAGAGAAAGAAGGAGCAGATTGTTAGGGGAGCAAGGAACACATCTTCCAGAGACTTCCCCGATCAGGACTCGTCCTCCACTCCACTTCACTCCATTGAGTACTGCTATCTCTTTGCTGTCTCTCTTTGTGGGAGGCTAGGGATTGGCACAGACAGGAGAGAATGTACTGTTAGACCTGTCCCCAGTCAGAGAGCAGAGCCTGATGTGTATGGGAGCAGATGCTTTCTTTCTTCACCATATTCCTAGTGTCCCAGGCTGACACTTCTTAGTATTCTGGTTAGTTCTTATACTTCGGGGGCCTGATAATGTTTTTCAGCCCAGTAGCAGGCAAACTGACCCCTTGCCATTCTCCAAGCCTATGATTCCCCTTTTACAGAATCATAGAAGTGTAGAACCAGAAGGGACCTGTAGGATCATCGAGTCTGGTCCCCTGCTGTGGGCAGGAAGTTATTGGGCTTAGACAAGCTCAGCAAGGTGCCTGTCCAGCCTCTTCTTAAACACCTCCAATGATGGTGACTGCACCATCTCTGGTGGGGGTGTGTTCCAGTTTCGAGCGACCCTTATGGAGAAAAAGTTCTTCCTTATGTCTAGTTTGAACTTGCTCTCTATAAGCTTATGTACGTTTGTCCTTGTCCTACCTTGAGGTACCCTCCTGAAGAGTTGCTCCCCCAGATCTTTGTGTTGTCTTCTGGTGTACTTGTAGGTCGCCATCAGGTCTCTTCTCAGCCTTTTCTTACTCAGGCTGAACAGGTCCAATTCAACTGAGTCTCTCCTTGTAGGGCTTATCCTCCGTGCCTTTGACCATGAGGGTAGCCTTTCTTTGTGCCCTCTCAAGCTTATCCATGTCCCTCTTGAAGTGCGGTGCCCAGAACTGGACAAAGTACTCCAGCTGAGGCCTCACCAGTGCTGAATACAGAGGGAGGAGCATCTCTCTGGATCTCCTGGACACACATCAGCTAATGCACACCAGAGCTGTATTTGCTTTCCTAGTGACCTCATTGCACTGCTGACTCATACTGATCTTCCGGTCAATTGTAACCCCCAGGTCTCGCTCAGATTCTGTGCCAGTCAGTGAGCCACCACCCATCGTGTAGTTGTGGTGAGAGTTCTTCCTAGCCAGGTGAAGGACTTTGCACTTACCCTTGTTAAATTTTATCTGATTCTGCTTCGCCCAGCCCAGAGTCCAGACTGTCGAGATCTTCCTGGATCCTGGCCCTATCCTCCAGTGTGCCCACATTTCCCCACAGCTTGGTATCATCCATTAACATAATAACTGAGCTTTCCATCCCCTCATCCAGATCATTGATTAATTTATTAAAGAGCATGAGTCCAAGCACAGCTCCATGGGAGACACCACTGGAGACGACCTTCCAGGATGAGGTCAGCCCATCGATTACCCTCCGCTGGGAGCAGCCTCTAAGCCAATTGTCCACCCACCTCACTGAGGACTGGTCAAATCCAGCACCCTTGAGTTTGTTTGAGAGACTCCCATGGGAGAGCGAATCGAAGGCTTTACTGAAGTCTAAGTAGATCACATCCACCATGTGTCCCTCATCCAGATGGTTAGTTACTTGGTCATAGAAGGACACAAATTTTGTCATGCATGATCTACCCTCAACAAAGCTGATTGATTCTTAACACCCTGTTCATTTCCAGTTTGCAAATGATGGCTTCCTTAATAAGTTTTTCAAAACCTTTGTCATGCTACAGGCTCTCTCTCTGTCTTCCTAGATGCTGAGGATGCCCCAGGCCAGGTCCAAAGTGTTTCAGGGGAAGAAGAGAAGGAAGAGGCCTTGTGGGAGAAGATTGAGAGTGTGCGGCACCAGCTGACCCGCTCCCTGAACCCAGCCAAACTGACCCCATACCTGCGCCAGTGCCGTGTAATAGATGAGCAGGATGAAGAAGAGGTGCTGAGCTCATGCAGGTTCCCATGCAAGAGCAACCGTACAGGTGGGAGAGAGCAGGTGCTCCCAGTGGGACATGGGGAGCCCAGTGTTAACCCTTCCATCAGCAGAGATACCCCAATGCCCAGGGTTCTTACCTGGCATTTACCTTCCATGCTAGCATGTCATCATCGCTGCTCTTTGCAATGACTCTCTGCACTGCTGATGCTTCTGCCTTGTTCCCTTCAGCAACTCCCACCCACAGCCAGCACTGTCCTGTATTGTAACACCCCCATGCACAGTTGGCAGTCTTGGCCTGTTCCCTACAGTGGTCCCCCCTACACATCCAGCACTTCTGCCCTGTTTGTAATAGAGGCCACTGCTCACACATGGCCATCTTGCCAGCTGAGATCCCACTGTGTGTGGGCACACTGTGAATTGGCTACTTCGTACAGTGGAGTTACGTGTAGTTTTTCCTCCATTTCGTGATGGCTCAGTCCAGTGTCTTCCTTTCTCTCATTAGGACACCTGATAGACATCCTTCGAAGCCGTGGAAAACGAGGCTATGAAGCCTTCCTGGAGTCCCTGGAGTTTTATTACCCAGAGCAGTTCATCCGGCTGACGGGGAGGGAGCCAGCCCAGCGCTGCTCTATGATCCTGGGTAGGTGCAGGATTCCTTGCCCCTCTCTCTTCAAGTGTCTTGTTGCATGTGTGACAGAGTGGGTAGAATCCAGAAGCCCAAACCTGACTTAGGAACTTTGTGTCTCTATGAGGAGCCTCAAACCCTGAAGCCTACATTAGGGAGAGCTCTGGGGCATGTGAGGAGCCCTGGATCGGGGTAGGCTTGGGGTGTGCATGAGAATTCCAGGGTCCTGAGTCCTGGGTTGACTGACAGATGGGTGGTCTAGGTGTAGGGTGGATTGTTATGAGTTGTCTGTGACTGTCTTCTGTCCTCTAGATGAGGAGGGTCCTGAGGGTTTGACCCAGTTCCTGATGATGGAAGTGAAGAAGGTGAGGGCTCAGCGGCAAGAGCATCTGTTGAGAGAGCACCAGTTACAGGTGAAGAACCAGGCCCTGGAGCAGGAGCAAGCTCGGCTGGAGCAGCGGCTGCAGGAGCTGCTGAAGGTGCAGGAGCGATACCAGAGGCTGCGGGAGGAGTGGGACTCCAACAGCATGGAGCTGCTGCGGCTGAAGGATGAGAACTACATGCTAGCCATGCGCTATGCACAGCTGTGTGAGGAGAAGAACATGGCCGTCCTGCGGAGCCGGGACCTGCAGCTGGTGGTACGGTGGGGAAGGAGACGAATACCGGGGGACGGGTATGAGGGCGTAGTGTCAGGGGGAGAGCATATTAGTGAGCAGGAGTGTGTGTTGGGCTCTAAATTTGGGAGTGAATCATGGAGGGCAGGTACTCTCTGAGGATGAGAAAGGATGAACGTGTGTTGTATTACATTAGTAAGAGGGTATATGGGCAAGTGAATCTATGTGAGTTAGCAGTTACGGGTGTGTGTGAATGCGTACATCTGAATGATAGGTGGTGCTTTTATTGGGCATGTGTAGGTGTATTCAGTTAGGTTTTAGTAATTACACCTGTGCCGTGAGTTGCTCTGTCAGTGTGTGTCTGTGCTGCAAGTTGCTCTGTGTATGTGTACGAAGGCAACGAGCCTTTTAAAGTCAGGAACAAGGTAGGGCACGATAGCACTTTAGAGACTAACTGATTCAGAGATGCATGAGGTTTTGTAGGCAACACACCCCTTTGCCAGATGCTAGGAATGGACTGGCCACTGTATAAATGTTTCACGCAGTGGGTTGTATGTGCGTACGCACCTATGCACCTATCAGAATGGTGCTTTGTCAGGGCATTTGCCTGTGCTGGGTGTTGGTCTGTCTGAGCATATCTTTGTTGCTCTGTCAATATGTATTGTGTGTTGGTTGTAGTGTTTATTTCCTCTGATATAACACTATTACCCATTTATTTTAGTAGGAACGAGCACATGTGTCTTGCTGTGCTTACCTTAGGCATGTGTGCATGCTTGTGCAAAGTTCACTGTATTGCCTGGCATTTGGTCTTGATATCAAGGTTCCTGGCACAGCACCTACTCCCATCCTCACCTCCTTATCCCTTAGATGATGCTACAGTGTTGAAGTCTTGGAGGAAGTAATGACTCCACACCCTACTTGTCACACTTTCACCTCTGGCAAAGACATACCCATTTCCCCTGTCTGAGTTGGATTAGCCTATTTATAACTACCTTATTAATTATACCTCTGCCTTGTGGTGTTTCCTTTGTTAGTCCAGTTCTGTAGCAGGCAAACCGAGTTATGCTCAGGCTGTTAGCATAACTTTAGGCCTTCCTGGAACTAAGCAATTAAATTATACAGAGTGCCTTATAAGGCACTGGGAAAAGTGAGTGCTGTGATTGGTACAGTGGGCTAGTCAGGTACAGTAGTTTCCCTAAAAGGAAAGGAACCAAAAATGGAATAGGATTGGAATACCTTATCTAAAAAGATGAGGATTGGACAGTTTGAGGTGAGAAAGTTACAAAAGTAGTGGACAAACAAAGAGACAGTATGTGTTTTGTGTTGCCACCCTGGGGAGACAGGAGCAACCTTGGAATTCTTGTTTAAACAACAAGGAATCCAGAAACGAACATCCCACACACCCAGCAGAGGATCTGAGGCTGGTACCTCTGAGGGTCGCTGCTGTAACATCTAAAGGAACTGCTTTTCAGGTCATATTACAAGGAGGAAACTTGTAATAAAGCCTAGGGATTACTATATTAAAGTTCACTTGATACCAAATTGGACAAGAGGCCAGGTCAATCCTTGGGGGGTCTCTGGTAAAAGGAATCCTAGGGGCAACAAGTCCTGACCTCCCCATGCAGCTCTGCTGGTGCCTCCGACACCTGACCTGGTCATGCTCTGAGCTTTCAGTCCTGCCCTCCTCATCCCTCATCCTTGCCCATGTTCCTCACTCTTGACAGGTATCATTCCCTGCTCTAGCAGTTCTGGGTCTCTTCTGAGCTGAGATAGCGGAGTTGTTTGTGGGATTTGGCAATGTGGCAAATACCCATCAGAAAGTTGAGTGAGACACACTGTCACTGCTTGGCCTGGTCCCTCCCTGGGTGGACATCATTGTGACAACAGGATCCAACTGTTGGACTCCACCTCGGCTAACCCCTTGGGTCTCATTGTTCCTAGCTCTGCCTCTTTCAGGCACACTCCTAGGTGCAGACCCCAGGTCTGGTCTGCTTCTTGGGAGCTGGGACCCTGTAGAGTGCAGTTCCCTGGTATCTGGAAGTCCTCCTAAGCCCTTGATGGCTTAGGCATGTTCCTTCTTAAAGCTCTCAAATTCTCAGTGGCTGTGAGAGCTCCAATTTCTTGATTAACCCCCTCAGCAGCAATGTAGCAGCAAAGCAAGGACAGCAGGCTTAGCAAAGGACTTGCCTAACCACCCACATTATAATCTTACTGAAAATAATAGTCCTGAACAGTCTGATCTCAGCCCTTCCTGGGAGTTCTGGGTTTGGATAGCTTTCTCCAGGAAGGCAACTTTTCCTGCCTCTTTATCCTGGGCTTTTGGCATGGGTTGCCCCCTTGCATGGAGAGTCCCTTCCTTAAATATAGTTTCTCTGAACCCTAGGCTAGTGGTTTTCAACCTGTGGACTACATACCCCTCGGATCCACAGTCTAAGGGGTCTGCAAAATGACTATGATCAATCCAAAGTATGTGACTACCTACACTTACAATTCAAAGGGGTCCACAACTCTGTTCAGAATTTCCAAAGTGGTCCACAAATGAAACAAGGTTGAAAACCACTGCTCTAAGCAGGCTGTCAGCATGGGAAACTGCAGATCTTGCTATGCACTCTGGCTGGGATTTGCCACTTCCCTACCCCAGGCAGTTCCAAAAGAGTTTATTATTCTAGGAATTGGCGGGTCTTTGAGAGCTCATCAGAGCTGATGGTCTTGGATTGCTCTGTGACTGCTCCTCAGGCATAGTCATTCTATGAGGTGTCAAGCCCTGCTTCAAAATGGATGCTTTCTCATAGGTGGAGGTTGCAGTATTGTATAAGGGTCATAAACAGGCATGGAGGTCACACTACAAAGTGGAGCCCCTGAGGCAAAGTGCTGTTTGCACAGCAATTTGGAGCAGACATATCTCCTGTTTTTACACCCACCAGGCTCATTTGGTTGGTGACCTAAGCCAGACCTGATTACATGATGCTGTCTGGGAGCCCTTGTTTTCATTGCTCCCAAGCCCTATCTCAGTGTATCTGCTTTGGTCTGCTACAGGAAGGTGAGGGTGATGAGGGGTGATGCCATCTCTGTTCTCTGCATCCCAGGTAGACCAGCTGAAATGTAAGGTCACCAGTCTGGAGGAGGAATGCACCCTGCTGAGGAAACACATGTCCACCGTGCCCCAGCGGGAGGCAGAGGAGCGGAGCCACTCCGACGTGGTGTCTGATCTGTGGGCTGAGAACCAAAGGCTAACAGTTTCACTCCAGGAGCTGCAGGGCAGGTTGCAGGTACCAGCCAGTGGCCACAGGGCCAAAGGGAGAGGAGAAAGCAGGCCTTGGCTCTGACTCCTCTGTGGCTACACTGACCTTTCTTGCTTGGGCTTTCCCTGTGGAGACTTCTGAGCATATGGCTGCAGCAAGCTGTAGCACAGAGAGGGTTCGGTTCTCTTTAGCATTGCATTTCCCCTTTTCAGGTGTTTTGGACTGTTGAGGCTGCGGCTGAGGCCCTTGTCTGTGTCAAAGGCCTTAGCCTCTGCTGCAGTACAGTCCTGTTGATGTTTTAAGAGCTAGCTCTGCTGACCAGGTAGGGGAAACAATAAAAGAGCAGGTTTATTTATAGAGTCTGACAATAAGCAGGGGCTGTGGACACAGGCGCAAAAATAGAAAGGGAAGCTTGACTCAAGCCTGGAAGAATAACAACCACAACAATGAAAGGGAGGAACCACCACCCAAGGGTGTTCAGGAATAGCACGTGGAAACCATTCCAACCAGCGACAAGGCCCTTGTCTAAAATCCTGAGTTAGATTCTCTCTCCTCCCTGATCCCTGGTTTGAGGCCTGTGGTAGCCTTAGCAATCTGGGTGAAGAGAAGGGACATTTGGGCTCTATGAGGCAGCTGAGATGTTTGGATGGCTTGCTAAGGCCCCAGAGTGGAATTCTGGCAAAGTGGTGTCAGCTTCTGGCTCTGCTACAGGTTCCTTGTGTGACCTTGGGCAAGCCACCCGATCCCTTTCATGCCTCAGTTAGCCACGATGATCCTTTGTTTGTCTGGCCTATGCAGACCATAATCTTTTTAGGGGCAGGATTGTTTCTGGCCAAGGTTACATGAGTGCTGAGCACCACGAGGCTTGGAAAGCAGTGTGGCTTCTAGGTGCAAGTAGTAGTAGTAATGCTTATTTGTCGGTTGACTCACAGGCTGAGCCTAAACCTGCCCCCAATTTCCAGAATCTCTTGGAGCCTGTGGTTTGGTCACCCTGTTTTGTTCTCTGCCAGGCAACTGGTGAGACCCAGGTGCCAGGATCTGAGCAGATCCTCCTGGACATTTTGGAGCATGACTGGAAGGAAGCCCAAGATGATCGGCAGGAGCTATGCCAGAAGCTCCACTCTGTGCAGAACGAACTGCAGTGGGCAGAGGAGCTAAGGGATAAGGTAATATAGTACATGCATACATTGGTGCCTTTGAAAGATGAGGTCCTTCAGCAGCTGCGCTATTTGACCTGGGTGGATGTGACTGTTTCTTGTTCCTGTTTCCAGTACCTGCAGGAGATGGAAGACCTTCAGCTGAAGTATCGGACTCTGCAGAAGGATTGTGACCTGTACAAACACCGGATGAACACAGTGTTGTCTCAGCTGGAGGAAATAGAGAAGGAGAGGGATCAGGTGAGATGCTGTTTGTCCCAGAGGCCCTTTGACCTCAGGAAAGGGGCTGTCTCTCAACCTCACCGCACCCCACCCCACCCCACCAAGTTGTCTCTAGGAAAGGGGGCTAGTTTTGTGTGCTGAATGCCCCAAGTCCCCTCCAACCCTTCTCACTCTTGGTGTCTGGTCCCACTGCAGGCTATCCAGAGCCGAGATGGGGTCCAGCTGCAGTACTCTCAGAGCCTGGTTGAGAAGGACCAGTATCGCAAACGGGTCCGGACTTTGGAGGAAGAGAGAGACAAGCTGTTGAGTAAGCTGAGCAAGTTAGAGGGCTTGAACAGCTCTCTGGAGGCTCAGGTGCAGCGATACCAAGGCACTCGGGACATGGGAAAGAAGGTGCGTGACAAAGAGCCATCAAGGTCTGAAACCAAGAATCACAGTCATGGAAAAACAGGGCTGAGGAGGACTCCTAATCCAACCCTATCTGGACCATCCCAGACATGTTTTCCAATCTGTCCTTGCAAACTTCTAGTGATGGAGATCCCAACCTCTTTAGATAGTCTACAAGATGGGGAGACAGGACCCAGATGTCAGTGGTAGGGGGGGTAGGCCAGAGTGGAAGAGGATAGGTTCCTAGTGGGGGATGGAGGAAGGGGGTGAAACTCTAAGTTAGAGGGGGAGGAGGAGACTGAGACCCTGAATGGTGTGGGGCTGCAGAAAGAGGAGGGAAGGGGAAGGGGAAGTGGTCCAGGGGCATGGGGAAAGGGTGATGGGTTTTAATGGGAGAGTGACCTTCTAACTGGGTCCCTTCTCTCCCAGATGTTCACCTCCTCCCACTCCCTCTGCTCCAACTTAAGCAGCAGCTGGAGCCTGAGCGATAATCCCTCTCCCCTGGTGGCTGGACTCACGGACCCACTGGGAGTCTCTGCCATCACCTTCCTGGGAGATCCCACAAGTCAGAGCATGGTGAGACTTTGGGCACAGTGTCTTGACCTACTGTTGAGGTCAGTCACAGTGCCCTGAGGCACTGCTGAGGCATGGGGAAGTGTCATCACATTCTCTACTTGGCAGAGAGTTGGAGGGGGTCACACAAGGGGCTGGTGCTTGAGCTGGGAACAGGACACAGGCACCCCCAGGCTTGTGCTCTGAGCATGTTTGTTCATGAATAGTAAACTCACGACCCACACCTAGCTCGGTACCTGACTGCACAGTACTCTACTGGTAGGGAAGTACTCTTCCTCACCCAAGAGAAGTGTTGCGCTTGCTAGCATTGATGCAGATATGGTCTCCAGTCAAAAAAGCACCATGGAACTCAGTGACAAAACTCCTTTTGGCTCTAATAGGGGCCATCGATCCTCAGTCATATCCTGCAGCAACCAGTTCCACAGGGAGTAGGAGGAGGAGAGTCTTCGGGTCTTTTCTTCTGTGCTTGTGCCCATACCTTTCCATATCATCCCCTCTTTTTTGTGGTAGGAGATAAGCAGACCTACCTAACTGGTGTTCCCTTTATCATACCTTTATCAGACCACACTTTGGCGGGTACAGAGCTGCTTTTCAGGCAGGCAACTGAGGGGACAGGGACTTAGGTACAGCACTGTGTGGCATCTTGCCTCATCTCTGCAAAGATTACATTTCTCATGGGTAGCCTATAGAGCCAGCTGGTATTGAGCTGAAATGTGGTGCCAGCTGCTCTGGTGGAGGACAAGTAGTATAACTAAGACTGGGTGACCCGGGCAGCAGTCTTGGGCATCGACTTGGGGTTGGGGATGGGAAAAATAACAGCTGCAGCCACACAATCACTCTGGTGGCTTTACACATTGCTGCTGCCCCCAGCACCCACTTGCCTTGTTACATCTTGTGGGGGACTGAAGGTGACCCACCCAAAGAGGAAGGAAGATGGCAGTGCTGGAACTGGGGCTGGGGAAGGCTCTGGAGTTTGGTGCTGGCTGGGTTAAACTGTTGTGTGTTTTGCTCTGTTCAGGAGGTGACTCCAGAAAGTGAGAAGGAGATTAACCGCCTTTCCACCTTCCCCTTCCCTCCCTGTGTGGGCTCCATCCTCCGACGGCAGCGTGAGGACAGTTGTGTGCCCATAAAAAGGTAAGCTTGGGAAACCTGGACCATCTACACTTGGTATGTTCTTTTATTGCTCCTTGCAGGGGGTATTGTGTGGGAACAAGGAGTGGTGGGGAAAGGATGCAGGGATGCTGGCCCTTAGAGAGGGGAGTAGCACCAGCTGTTTGGGGAGAGGGGCACTATTATAATAGGAAAAGTGTGGGCTGCTCAGGGTAGCTAGGGTAGGCTGGTGGGATGAGCAGTGGTGGAGCTCTGCTCATAGTGGTATGGGAGGAAAGGAGACAAGCTTGCAATAGGCATGCAGGGAGGAAGGGAGCAGGCCATAGGATGGGAAGGTGCCACTGAGAAAGCATGAGCAGTGGCTTGAGAGCTGGAAGGGTGAATAGTGCAGGGGTGCTGGCACTGTTCAGAACAAAGGGGTTGGAGCCCTGGGAGGGTGCTACTGAGTGGATGGGGCAGGAGCACCAGTGGGGGGAGGCAGGGCAGCAGCAGCAGCCCAGGGGAAGGAGTAGGGTGTGCTGCCTACAGGGGAGCCATGTGATTCATAATACAATACCAATAAGCATCTGGTAGCAGCTTTACAAGATGCTTCCCCGTTGTTTTTCCCTTTCAGTCTGTCCTGCGGGTCCTTTGGCAGCATGGAATACTTGACAGGTAGCATCAGCCGTTGCTTCTATGGAAGGATTGTCCTGGGCACCATTTGAGGGGCAAGGAGGTGGGAGTGGAGGGGAGTCTCCAATGCCTTCTGCTTGTGATAAACCAGCTGCAAGGCCATGTGCCCGCTGGGGGGCACCATTGCCCCACACTTCCCCAGTTGGCTGCAACAGCTATGTCGGGAGAGAATCGCTTGTCTCCTGCAGAAGCTTTAGCATATTCTCCTTTGCTATATTTAATTTATAGCGAGTTTTATTTGACGGAGAATTCGATTCGGAGTCAGAGGGCTAGGAACTGGAAGAGATAAACGCTTCGGCTTCAGGGTGTTATTGGATCATGGTGACGGGTTGTAAATCTCCAGAGTCTGTCCTGTTGTATATCATATGGCTGGCTGGTTCTTTGGCATGTGCTAGTGATGTGGGGCTAGGGGAGTGGGTGGGTGTGTGCGGGCTACCTGGGTTCTGCAGTCAGACACCCACCGGCCACCAGCTAAAGAGGCATGGGATGTGGTGGGGGAACTGCCTGTTCTAAAGTCCATTCTGGGGATACAGAGATCCAATGCAGATCCCTACCCCTTTACCCACAGCCAACCTGGCTGACTAGCCAACCCTTAACCCTGCATGGGACCCCTACTTGGTTCTGAGTTTATGCAGCTGTCAGAGGTGACATGCTCCCTTCCCTCTCTTTCTCCTCTAGGGAGTGGTACCACATCTGCCTCAATGGCTGGCCTCTCCTCCTCTTCCAGCAGCTCGAATGCCAGGGTGCAGTCAGAGCTCTGCTTGTCCAGCCTCTCTGACCGGATGGAGCCCACCCGGAGGTGCCTCCCTTTGATACACTCTTCCTTGAGTTAGACTCGATGCTGAAAGAGGATCAGGATTCCCCCCAGAATAATGAAGTGTCCCCCACTCTGGGCAGTCTTCATGTCACTTGTGGCTTCCTGAGCTAGGATCTCAGTTCCACACTGGCCTTTTCTGAAGGGAAGAGAAAATGGAGTCTGAGGGATTCGCTCAGATTCCACTTCCTAAAAGGGACCCCACGTTTTTCCTGTGCCTGTGTCTGTTGTGATGACCTGATATACACCTGGCATTGGGGCTGGAGATGGGGACAGCCCCTTGAGCTGGGAACATCCTCCTTAGAGTGTAAACTAGAGCTTCAACCATGGGAGATCCTGTTTTCAAAGAAGTCCATCTTGGCTTCTCTTTGGGCCCAGCCCATGGGTGGGATTGGGCTATGGGAGTTTAGTAAATGTGGTTTGGATCCCTTGGTCATACAGATATGGTCACCTCATGTCTTAATCCTGTTTGTAGTTGGTTAGACTTGATATATCACCTAAGGGAGTACCCAGCAACATGGTGCACCAGTTAAGGAATACAACTGCTTGCAAAGGCAGGGAACTTGAATTTCCCTTTTTTTTTCCTGTCACCAGGTCCCTGGTGGTACAGCTCTGTAGCTTGGGTCACCTGCGCAGTCCAGTGCCTCAGAACAGGGGCCTCGGAGGAGACATCTCCATCCTGGGGGGGAACAAAACAGGGATTTATGTCCAGTGGGTGAAGCCAGGCTCAAAGGCTGAGAGTGCAGGACTCAGAGAAGGTTGTCAGCTTCTGGAGGTAAGTCAGGAAATTGTCCAGATGTGTGAGATTACAGCTCCTCTTACACAGGGGACCTTTATTAAATGTCAATTACAACTACATCATGAACAGGACAGGGGCTGAGCAGCTGATCCAAAGCCCTGTACTAGAGGCTTGAACCATGAACCTCAGTATTGGTAGACTAGGAATGCAACTTCTGAGCTATCAGACAGGAACAGAAGGCTAAAAGGGACATCCTGGGCCATCAAGTCTAGTTCCCATGGGGCTTCTACACAGTGCTGAGTTCCAGCTTAATGTCTCGTGTTTACCATAGAAAAGTCCTTGCCTAGATCTCTATGCAGCACACACAAACTAACATGCATACTGCAAGTAAGCATATCTATCTACCACTGTTCAGATAATGAGTCTCTCTTATGTGATTAACTTTAAGATTCCTTCCATTCAAGGGAGGAGGAAAAAAGTAAGACCCATAAACTGGGACAGTAATACCCCTGTCTGTTGCTCCAGTGCCTGCCAGCCATTCTGTTAATCTAAAGTGCTTTACAGACTGGATACATGACATACTCACAGCCCAGAATAGGTTGAAAGGCATTCCATTGTATCATATAGCAAGGTTTGCAGTCAAATAGAGTCATAGGAAGGGGGAAAAAAATGATGAGAAACAGAACTGTCATACTATATGGGATATCTAGTCTAGCATCCTGTCACTAACAGTGGCCAGTAACAGATGGTTCAGAGGAAGGTGTAAGAAAGTTCAGGCAGATGTGAGAGAACTTTCCCTCAGGGTCAGTGTCTTTCCTAGGCCCAGTGGATAGCAGCTGGGTGAATCCCTGAGTCACGAGCATTTCTGTCCCTTCCACCGCTCTTATTTGTTTCTTTTCACCAAAGATGCTAATGAGAAGCTGGAGGGAGGGAGCTGGGAAACGGAGTGGGAAAACATGTTTGCTTCTCTTGTGGCATGCTGTCCATTTGTCCTTGGTAGCTGAGGGGGACATCACTGGGGGAAGAGGTGCTATCCCTGGAGAACTGCACACGGGAGGTGGCTTACCTGAGCCTGCTGCACTGGGATGACCTAGCTGGTCTCATCTTCCAGCCAGATATGCAAGGTAAATCCCAGCAGATGGTCTCAGTTTCCCTGCTGGGGCAAGAGGCAAGTGGATGACCTCGGCCTCTTTGTTCATTCAGCCTGGATCTCCCTTCATCCCAGGTTGCTTCTGGTCTCGCTATGAGACCCCTGCTACTTTCCCATTCCTGGCCATGTTCATTGAGTTTGAGGAGCCTCCCCTCAAGGAGCAGTAGGTGGCTGTGAATTCCAGCTCTTGTATCACTGCTGTCCTAGAGACATGGAGAGTCACTAAGGTCCCTTGTGAGTGACTACCCACTTTCCTCCTGCCTGCTTTGCTTGCAGAAGGGACCTTACAGACATCTGTGTCTCTTCTGCCAGGGTACCAGCCTCTTAGGGAGGCGCTACAAGAAGGGAAGAAAATTCCTGGAGACTCATTCTATGTGCGTGCCAACCTGCCCCTCCCAGAACAGTCCGACCCCTGCGCTTTGTGTGTTAAGTGTCGGGAGATCCTGCACGTCACAGACACCATGCACAAGGGGCGACAAGAGTGGTACTGTGCCCGTGTTGACCCCCTGACTCTGAGGGACCTGGACAGAGGGACCGTGCCTAATTACAGCAGGTAACAGGGACGTGGGAGGCACTGGTCTCCACTGGAATCCAAGCGCTTCAGGATTCTGGCACTGGGGAAGGTGCTTTTGTCCCCTCCTGCCCTCACTCCTCTTTTTGCCTTTATAAGTCCTCTTTAGGAGTCCTGGTAGTCTGGTTTCTCAAGGTCTTATAACAGTGCCCACTGCTGTGGTATCTCTGGGTGCTGCAAAATGAATGGGTGACAGAGTGTGTCCCCTCTTACTGAGATGCCAGCAGCAGATGGTGGGACAGGGGGCTTACTTAGTTACATCCCCTGCTATCTGAGGGTAATCTTTCTCCTTTTAGGGCTCAGCAGCTTCTGAAAATGCTGGAGAAGGGCCAAGTGCAAGGTCGGCAGAGGGGCTACCGGAATAACGTAAGTGTGGTGTGCTTGTAGGAGGTCTTGGTGCCCACAGTCCATCTGCCCCCACTCAGTATGGCATTCTCCCATCTGGTAGTGGGTGGGAAAGGTGCTTTGGGGAACTTTGGGGGCCTTGGCCTGTGTCCTTGCACTGCCCCTTGCTGACTTGATCATGTAACTGCCAGTGTACATCCCTTGTTGTAAGTGAACAGCAAGTCTTGATGCAGGAAATGGGAAGGTAGGCTCTTGGTCTCTTGTTCTCATGGCTTCTGCAGTTTTGGTGCACTGTAAGGGCTGGGCCTGGGGCTGGTTCCAGAGGCAGCAGCTGGAAGTGGAGCAGTGCTTTCTGATGTATGCCAGTCCTGGCCTTACTCTGTCCCAAAGGGAGTGCTCTGCAGATGTCATGCTGCTGGCTGGAGAAGTGGGAGAGCCTTGCATCAGGCAGGGGTGCCAAAAAGGGTCCCAGACAGGATGAACATCAAATGTTCTGTGAGGCTGAGCTGTCGGGTTCTCATTCCAAAAGAGCCCTTGAATCTCCTGGGGCCTGACCCTGTTGCTAACTCCCTGCCCATTTGCCAGCGAGCAGATTATCTGATATCAGTGAGCACTGGAGAGAAGAATTTTGTATTTTTAGTCTCTTCCCTACTCTGTTTTCCTCACTCACTTTCTTCTGTTTTTCCCATTCTCAGCTGAAGAAATATGGCCTAGGCCAGCTCCGTCCAGGGAAATCCAAACAGCAAGGGGGCCAGGCGGAGTGCCTTCAACAGCTGCTGCTGGACCCTTGCCCAGGTGAGCTGCTACCACCCCTCCTTTCTGGCTTGCCCTCTGGGAGAGGAGTTTGTTGGGGACAAAGTCAATCTGAATGGTTCCTAGCAGGCCTAAATGCCTTTGACCACTGTCTTCCTGGTAGATCACCCTTCTGTGATGATTTCCCTGTCAGAGTCTGGGAAGCCTTTTCCCTTCTTTCATGCTATGTCTTATTTAATGCCTCTTTAAGATGGTCTGTATTGTGGCTGCCATGCTCCTTGTATACACTCAGTCCCTGTGGAGAGGAGAGGAGCATTCAGTATGTGGAACTCCATTGACCCCTCTGGCTAACTGGGAACTGGGACCTGGAAGGGGACCCATAGTCTGTCTTCTCGTCTCACAGGCAGAGGTTGGGAAGGGTGACGGGTACAAAAGATATGGGGGATTAAATCCAGAAAAGATCTCTCAGTGTCCAGGAAGCATGTGAGTAGAAGGATGGAGACATGTGCTTGGGTGTGGGCCTATGTGGGAGTGAGGTGATAGATGCGTGCTGAAGAACAGCAATAAGATCGGCTTAAAAGACAGTCCAATCTGTGAGTATGGTGATGTGCCACAGACTGCTGACCACCTCTTCATGTATGCAGCATACCTGTGCACCCAGGATGAGGACCTGGCAAGCATCAATGATAAAGCAGTTGTGTGGCTGTGGCACATTATTAAATGTGTAGAGGGGGAAATAAAATATATGAGAGAAGAAAAAGAAGAAGTGGAAGTGTCTGTGGTACAGGCTGAGGGTAGTGATGAATATAGGAGGGATTCATGTGTACATGGACAGGTATAAGGTGGGGAGGTATGGATGATCTCTGTGCTGGTGACTGTCCTCAGCTCTAATACTCATTGGTTGGTTTCCCTTTAATTTTGTCCTCTCCCAGACCCAAATAAGAACCTAAAGCCCTACATCCTAGTTCACCCTCTGGTAGTGCCAGGGCCTCGCCCTGTGGTGCTCTCACCTGGCTGTATAGTGCCCCGGCTCATCAGGAACCTGCTGGACCTGCCCAACTCACGCCTGGACTTCCATGTGTGCCCAGCAGGTCAGTTGGAGAAACCAAGCAACTTGCCTGAGGAGATGCAAGGGCATCTGGGGTAGCGTTAGGAGTAACACCTATGTCCTCTGGCTTCCTCCCCATTGTTTTAATCACATCATGTTACCACTCTGAGGAGGCTTATTGTCTTTCTCTTTTTAAGCATGAAAATTTCCTTAATAACATTGAACATAGGTCCTTTATATCCCTAGAACTGTTGGTATTTGTGTTCACTGGCGACCTTGTCCAGCCAAGTTCAGTAGCTAAGATCTTCTTAGCTTTGAGAATGTGAGGCATGCATTTACAGGGCTTTCAGGGTTGGTGTGAGATGGTGCCAGCCAAGGTGGCTTCTAGTTCTTCTCATGGGCTTTCCTACCTCTTGCCCACCACCCCTTTTTGCCTCCCATTGCAGAGACCCTTGATGAAGAGGAGCTGGCCACTCCCTCTCCTCAGGTGGCTAGAGGTGTCCCCCAGGACCAGCGGGAGAATGGGAAGATTCACACCATCCGGGAAGCCATGAACAAGGTGCTGAGCTGAAAGCCCAGGGCTCTGGGCACTGCCAGCAGGGGAGTGGGACTCCTGTTCTGGGGATGGGGCAGGAACAAGGCAAACTGATGGTCAATAGAGAGAGGCTGAGACTGCTGAAGGAGCAGGAGGGAGAAAAAAAGAGACTTCTGGCTTGTATAGTGGATGGAAGGAAAAGGAGTCACTGATTTGGGTGCAGGGTCCTTTTGATGGAGTTCTAGGTTCATCCCATAGCTTCCACCATAAAACTCTATGAGTCCATGAAGTGTCAGACCTAGTCCCTCTGTTGAGCCAGTGTCAAGCTCTGTTCAAGGGGGCTTGCTGTGAATTCTGCTCCCACCCACCATGGTGCTCATCTTCTGCAAGGAAGGCCTCCCAAATAGGAGCAGAGTGGGGGGATACAGAATCCCTGAAAAGAGTGAACATGGAGGCTGAATGTGCCAGAGGGAAGGGGTGAGGAGGACTTGCTGGTCAGGCTGGACACTAACCCAGTCTGTTGTATGTCAAGTGGCCCTACTCTTTAATTCTCCACTTCCCTCTTGGGGCTGGCTGTAAATTCCACCTTTAATGGAATTACTATTGGAAAAGCAATGATATTTCACAGTATGGGGTTTGATTTAATGTAACTGTCAGAGACTTAGGTTATTTCTTTTCCATTTAAATTGGTAAATCTATTCAATTTCTTTACAGAATAAACACTGCCTGCTAGAGCTGGGAGTCCAGAGTGTGAGGGATCTAATTAAAAGTGAAATATACCCCATTGTTATCCATGTCGAGGTCACTGAGAAGAACATCAGGGGACTCAGGTACAAAAAGCCCTTCAGGACTGACAGAGGTTACACTCAGATGAAGTGACAAAGGAACAGGGTGGGAGCACTGTCTGTGTGTGTTCAAGTGTGTGTGTGAGAGGGAGGGAGAGAATGAGTCAGTAGAGGGAACAGGGCAGGAGTGCTGGCTCTGGAAGGGCAGTCTCTGTAGGGAACAAGGCAGGAGCACTGGCTGTGGGCAGTTGCTTTAGGGAATAGAGTCGCAGTACGGGCTTCTGTCAGGGGGATCATTGGAGGGAATGGGATGAAAGCATGGGATGGGCAGGGGGGAATGGGATGATAGAGAATGGGATGGGAGTGCTGGCCGTGGGGACGTGTGTAGGAGGGGAGGCATGGTAGCGCTGTGCTGTGCAGCCAGTGCTAGTTCAGTTCTCTGTGGGGTGCTCATATTTGTGGATGTGTCTCTGTGTGTCCTGTTAGGAGCTTGCTGGGAAAGCCGGGCCAGCGTGACTCTGAGGTGCTGAAGCTGTGCCGTAGTGCTGAGCAGGCTTTCCATAGCCTGCCTTGCTCCTGGGCCCGGGTGGATCCCCAGTCCTGGTGCCATGCTGAGGAGCTGGTGAAAGTGGTGCGGGGCTGCATCTTCCAGGAGCAGACCAAGGTGGTGTGGGTTGAGGTCGGCGAGCCATGATCCAAGACCCAGCCGAGGCATTGTGACACCTGTGTGACAGGAGGCTCCAGATGGAGGAGCTGACCACAAGCTACCTGGCCCATGGTCCGTACCCAGAGGAGGTTGTCTTCCAAGTCTCCAAGCTGCTTCATGAATGTCATTTGCTTCTTCTGTCTGGGATACAGCACGATGCCTCGCTGTCAGGAAGGTCCCAGAAGGGACAGGGTAGCCCTTTATGCCTATTTCTGCCAGGGAGCTAGCAAGCCTACTTCAGGCTGCTTAGAAACTTGCCAGTATAGTGGGAAGTAACGCATACAGACTTCTGTCCCAGAGAAGTTTCTGTGTTTTGTTGCAGGGATTTATTTTGCCTTCTCACTGAAGAACCCTTTGGAGTCCATACCACACTTCTCTGTCATGGCCTTGCCTTGGCAACAGGGTCTGCCCTGTAGGCCAGTGATTTGGGCAGCTGGGAGTAGGCACTTAGAGGAAACCTGTGAAGTGGGCTCCGGCATGCATCTCCTCCCTTTTATGCTCTCTTCCTTTTTATTAGTCTGTTTATTTGGTTCTTCCCCTGCTGGCCACTGCATCAGTCTTTCCTTCCCCACAGCTGTCTCTCTGGCTCCCTTCACTACCTCAGATGCTATCCTGCTGCAGCACCTCTGCTGAAGCACATGGATGCATGCACAGCCCACCGGAGTCAGAACAACACTAGGTGGGGTTTGTGAGACATTCTGGTTTTATGGTAATTGTAATCTTTATTGCATATAAATTATTAACGGACCCTTTTATTGGAAACCTGCATATAAAAGAGAATTAAATACCATTTATAATGGAAATGGATGAGTGGCTGCTGCTCCATGCATTAAGAGAAAGGAGTGGGAGAGGGAATTCACTTATCCTCCTGCCTTTCCCCTCCCCAGGTCTCTCCTAAATTCTGTGCCAAGCTGGGGTCCCTCTGTGCAGCTGCATGACAGGCACTGGCAGGGACAGAGGAATGCTATCTTGCTGCTACCTAGGAGGGAGGCAGCAGGCAGAGAGAGAGGATGGACTGGACCAAAACCCCATCTCTCTTTTCTGTCCTCCTTTCTTTGCCCCCTCCTTCTCTCCCTCTCCAGTACAGACCCAACAGTCTGTTTCTCTGATGATGTCAGAGGCATACTGAAGATGCTTGACTGATTCTCCCAGAGTGACTGCTCTCTCATTACCTCCAAAGGCTCAGAGCACCTTGCCATCTGTCTTGTGCTCTGAGGGAATAATGGGCAAGGCTGGGCCCAGTAGGATAGCCAGAAGGCTGTGGATCACCTTACCCAGCTACCAGAGGCCGTTTTCACTCAGCTGCTGTGACTGGAGTTGGGACAAACTGTGCCTGAAACCCAGCCTGTCTTTCCCTCTCTCTTGCCCTCTCCTCTCAGATGTTGGGGAAGAAGTAGAAGTAGAGCCACAGGGGAAGACATGGAGGAACAGCACATAAGAGATGGACATGTAGTGGGGGGAGAAGAGGCGGCATCTGTGCTTGCCAGCGGCACACTCCTGGCATGCAGCTGGGATGTTGGCTTATGCTGGGAGTCACCCTCAGGGAGCAGGGGTGCTCTGAGGAGTGCAGTTAGGTTGAAGAGTTCACCCTCCATCACTTCTGGGGACCTGTGTTAGAGCAATTGGTGGCCAAGCTGTGACATCCCTTGAGCCCTGAGCATGAACTCCATGTGCCCCTGGAGGTTGCAGGGGGGCACAGTGAGCTCCCGCAGGTGGCAGTGGCGCTGTCAGCGGCGGGATCATGGTGGTGGCAAGTGGGGAGCTCCTGCAGGTGGCCATGGCATTGTCAGTGGCGGGGGTTGTGGGGGTAGGGGGGTGCAGCTGCTGAGCATCAACTGGCAGTCAGTGACCACCTGCAGACACTGCCAGCAGCATTGGTGGTGGCCAGCAGTGATTGCAGACTGCCCGCAGACGTCACCGGCGGTGTTGGTGGCGAGGTGGGTGGGTGGTGAGCGGCGACTGCCCGCAGGTGCTGCCAGGAGTGTCGGCGGCGCCTTTTCACAGGGGGTGCACATGCATCCGCGTGCACCCCCTATGCGTCGCCAGTGGTGAGGAGGAGCTAAGCTGTGTTTCACACTGCAGTGGGGATGCCAGGGGGGACAGCACTGGGAATGGCACAAACTGGTACAGGGCTGAGGAAAAGTTACAGCACTGAGAGAACTGTCTGCCCAGCCCCATGGCATATGGAGGATGGAGAGAGAGTGCTTGGGGCAGAGGGCAGTGGGCGCAGCATGAAGATGGGTTGGGCAGTCCCAGAGGGTGAGGTGCACTGCATCTCCTCACAATGCTCAGCTGGTGCTTCACAGCTTTAGAGCTCTGGGTAAAGATTAACTTGTCGATCTTCACAGCTCCCCTGTGAGGTGTTTTTCCGGTCTTTGGGTTTCTAAAGGAGTGCCTGTGTCTTCACAAAAATTTAAACCTACAGCCACTAAAATGTAGAGCAACCCCCTGGAGCTGCCCTGCAGCAATACAGATTGTCCACGAATGAGAAATGGCCGCAGTGCCAATACGGATGGAGAATCACAACCAGCACTGCCCCCACCGCCCCCTCCAGGCTCTGACACCGCTCTGCCCAGGGCAGCCAGCACACAATGAGGCCTCTCACAAACTGGGCTCTGCTAGTGGCAGGGACACAAAACCCAGGTGAGACCTTTCCTGGGGAAGGTCCTGGTACTAGCCCTCTCTTCAGTGAAACAAGGAAGAGTCTGGCTTAGTTGCCTCCATCAGATGTTACTGAGGCAGTGTTGTGTGAGCCAGCCTGAACGGGAGCAAATAGGCAGTCAGTGCAGCTCCCGGAGTGCCAGAGTTGAGTGCTCCCTGTGCGATGTGGATTTGGGACCAGGTAGCTGTCTTCTGCCTCAGCTGCAGCTTCCAAGTAGTTTCAAGGTCTGACCCCACGTAGAATACATACTACTCTAACCCCATGGCAGGGCAATTTTAGTAGAGTGGAAAGTATTAGTGCCATTGTACAAGACATTGGTCATAATCCAGGTAGGTCTTATTCCAGTGGTAGGATGTCAGGCAGGTGGCTCAGTCTTAAATTTCTTTCCAGATTTTGGGTAAAGAAGGAACTTTCCCCATGTCAGATTAGCAGGGACCATTGCCATTTCTTTTTGCCTTTCTTGGTAGCAGGGGACATAATCCTCTTTCTAGGATCATGTGAGTGTAGTTGTACTTCACAAATTCCCTGCTGTTTCTGGAGCCTGAAGCCGTGTTGGTACCCTTGTCCCTCCTGCTCTCTTCCTGGGGCTTTCTGTAAATGTTTGTCCTCGGCACCAAAGGCCTGAAGTGAATTAGGGGATATTTGGCAGCTGTGGTGATTAGGGGGCTGGAGTGGATATTTTTTGGACCCTTTTGGGCAACCATCTCTTAGAGGGTTGCCTGTGGACCCAGCTTCCTGTGTTCCAGGACTGAGCTAGACCTGCCCTCTTTGTCAGATGAAGAACATAAACATTTTCCCTGACATCTGCTGCTTCCTGAATATCCAGGAGGAAATGTGGATTTCAAAGGACCCCATAGGCATATCCCTGTTTTCAAGGTAGGGACACAGGCAAAGAAGAGTGAAGTGGTTATTTCCATGGGGTTAGGAACACAGTTAGGAACCACACATTATCTCCCCACCCTGCTGTATCCACTGGGTGCTCTATCCACCGCGTGCACCCTGTTCTATCCACTGGGTGCTCATTCCCATCCTTGTTCCTGTCACTCCTGGTTTGTTTCAGAGGCCTACCCTCATCCATTTCACAGCTCTTCAAGCCCAGCTTTAGCTGGTTCCAGATGTGCATGGCAGGAAAGAGAAGGATCTTAAGTAAACATTAACTGCAGAACGTTCCCTGCTGTGTGACCGCTGGCACCAGTCCCAGTGTTGCTAGGGCACTCAGAGTGCATGACATCCCTGCGCCCCAGGGGTGGCTGCCTGCTGTGGAGAAATGAGTCACACGCGTTGGGTAGCAGGCAGAATGCAATTAGCAGATGTGGGCACCGATTAGCAGCCATAACAGCCTTGTACGAACCCATGTAAAGAGTCATTTAGGGAAAATGATTTACCTGACCCCACGAGAGGGGATCTGGGTGGGAGTGCGAGTGAGTTTGTGTGTGTGTGTGTGTGTGTGTGTGTGTGTGTGTGAGAGAGAGAGTGACCCCATGTAATGATGGCTTGGGTGTGCCAAGCTGGGGGTGGATTTCCATAAGGTCACACAACAACTTTACCTAGTGACAGGTTCCAACAGTCCCTACCATTGCTCACCCTGGTTCGGCTCCAGCAGTTAGCTGGAGTGTGCATGGCCCACTATCCTCTGTGTTAATTAGACTTGCTCTAAGCAGGGTTGGAGGACAGGGTGATTAATCTGCCTCTAAGCAAGGTGCAGCTGAAAGCTATGAAGCAAGGCAAGGGAAAAGATGGCTCTAAGCCTTCAAAAGACTCTAAGTTACATTCAACTCTCCGTTGGCCCCAAGGGCCTGTTTTGCCAGCTGAAAATTGCTGGAGTGTACGGATGCTTTTCCTAGTGCAACTTTCTCCTCAAAATGTCCCCCATCACGCCAAGGCAGAGTGGAGGTCTAGAGCACTACTAAGGGTTAAACTGGTTCTCCAGGCTCTTTGTGCTGCCAAAAGGGATACAAAGCCCTCAAGATTGCTAAGTAGGTGTGAGTAACAGTGGGAGTTTCTGCAGAATTTCCCTAGTGTTTATCAGTTTCGGGTTGTTCTGGAGCTCCAATTGCCTTAGTAACAGGAGAGCCTAAGGGTGAATGTTCCCCACGATTCAGCATAAGAATGTGCCGCTGTTCAAAGGGATCTAAAAATACAAGAGTCAGGAACCCTCCAAAGGGAGTTGGAGAGACTCCAGGCACACAGGAGATGATCTTGCTTCAGGAGCAGCTGAAGAGACCAGAAGTCCTGGATTTTGAGGGGCAGATTCTGTGTGTTGCATCTCCTGTGGGTCACAGAATAGCACGTGTGATCCGGCAGTGGGGCAAATGTGGTTTTGTGCCACCTTTTCCAGTTTCCAGTTTGTGCCGCCTGGAAACTATATATATACTTTTTTTCCCCCAGGGGCCAAATCAGTTCTGAATTCTGTTGGGCAAAGCCCAATAGTCATGTTCCAAATTTCCACTGAGCAGAGCTCAATCGTTCAAGTCTGTGTGGCTCTACCAACAGGCAAGCATCCTCTGTCCCAAACCCATCAGTCTGGGGCTTTGGGTACTCCCCAAATCCATGCCATTCTACATGCAAACTCCAAGCCTGGAAGCTTTGGAGTTTGGATGCCCCCTAGTCTTGCTAGGTCCTAGCCAAAAGGCCAAAGAGCAAGCCATGGGGGAAGCATAAATACAGTCCCCTATTGCCACAAAATTGTGCAGTCAAGTTTCCCGCATTTGGGGAAACTTGCAGGGGTCTCTTGTACCCCTAGAGTACAAGAGACAGGCCTCACCCTTGGTAATCATGATTTCTCACCTCAGCACAGGCCAGGAAGCAGGACCCAAGTAATTTCCAAACAGGACAATCAATCGGTTAAAGTATGTGGCCTACCTGCACCAAGCCTCAGACAGGAGAGGGACTGAGGAGGGAGTTCTGGGGGGAGCACAGGGAAGGGGGTTGCTTTGGAGTTGCTTGCAGCCCCTGGTGTAAGTTAGAGCAGCCCTTGGGAACTGCTCTAATTTATAGCTGCCTGCAGCTGAGCACCGTGGGAAGCTCCTCTGCTGTCTCCAGCACTCCCTCCTTCCTCCCCTACAGCAGGGAGGCTTTGAGGAGGAGCAGCACAGAGCTGCTTGTATCAGCCCTCAGCAGTTTCTGGCTGGGGGGAAATCTTCCCAGGCTCTTCGTTATTCCTATGTGCTGCTGGAACAGTCACTGGGGGATTCTGCTGGAACAGTTCTCCTGGTTGACTATACATTTCCAAGCAGAAGGGACTGTTCTGATCTTGTGGTCTGACTTCCATCATAGTCCAGGCCATGGTATTTCACCCCATGACACCTTTACTTTGGGGAGACTCTAACATTTAAGGGGCCCTTGGACAGGAGTTGATGCTTGTGATTTGCAATGTAGGGCTGTGGAAATGTAAAGCAATGCAATGTGTCTAGTTGTTTTATTTGCAAGGATCCCTTTAGAAACACAGACTGACTGCAAGGCCTGAAAGAAACAAGGGCTAGGGTCATCCGCAGCAGATGGGATGTCAGAGAACCTGGAGCATCAAATGAAAACATTCCTAGTGACTGGTCTTGGGGGCAGGGGGGGCACAAAACAGCCACAGGCCCTTGTGACTGGACGCCAGGGTTCAGAGGGGCAAGGCCTTCACTGCAGGGAAGACGACCCTGTCGCCCCCACGCTTGCTGTGTAGAACAGGTGAGTGAAGTTTGCAGTGTGTCACAGTGCACTCTCTCGCTCCGCCTCCTTGATGTGTTCAGGCTCATGTACCCGTGCGGGCACGTGTGTGAGAGATCATTGTGCTGCTTGAGAGGGTATAGAAAAGTCTTTCCCCAGCTTGTCCCAAATTCTAAGGCTAGTCCTGGCTTCTTGCTTCAGACAGCCCTCAGGAAGTGAGCTGGGGAGCTCCCTGGAGATCTCCTTGCACCTGCCAGTGGTTAAAGCCGGCCCAGATAGGAAGGTGGAGCTCTCACTAACCAAGGAGCAGGCTTTCCCCAAGCCAGGGAGAAGAGGCAATGCTCATCCTCTCTTTAAGAAGTGGGAAGCTGCATTCCCTCCCACTCCCCTACCTGGCAAATGCACAGAGGTGAACTCAAGCCTGTGCAGTCCAAGCAAGTCCCTAGCACCCCCGCTTCCCTGTACCTCCCCTCAGAACTCCCTGCCCGGTCCCTGTCTTATCTGAGGCTTGGTGCAGGCAGGCCAAATTCACAAATTCATCACCCTGCTTGGAAAACTATTTGGGCTTTGCTACCTGGTCTTTACTGAGGGGTGACATGAGCACAGGTAGCTGCAGGAGGAGGGGGGAACCATAGGTGAGGACAGACCTGGATGGGGCTTGCCCTGTACAGAGACTGGATCTGCTTAAGCATGGAGTAGGCAAGACCCTTTGAATGGAATTGAAGGTCCTTTGTAGGGCATTATCCCTGCAGGGGTTCTGAGCCTGGCATGGAGACCAGGAGGGGAGGCACTGTGGCCTGCCCCCTGCCCAATTCTCCAGTGGCTAGGAGCTGGGTTAGGCCCTGGGGCTGTCTCGAGCGCCGATCTAAGAGCCAGGAATGTCCAGGATACAGATGCTCTCAGCCATACCCCTTCCCATCTGAGCCCTCCCCAACACTGCCTTCTGAGAGAGGCAGTCTGGAAGGGATATTTGCTCATTCTTGCTTGGGAGGGAAATCCCCACCCCCCCAGCTTCTGTACAGTCACTTCGGAGCTAGTTTGCAAGATAAGATGCCCCTCCCTCTCCCATTGAATTGCCCCCTGCAACCCTGCACCATTTCAGGGAGGCTCTCTGGGGATCAGGGGATGCAGAAGCATGCTGCCCTCTGGCAGATTTCAGGGTGGCCTGGCACCTCTGGAGATGGCTTGGCTCCCAGCTTAGCCTCACAGCCCTGTGGCTTGACACATGCCTCTGAGCAGGCAGCAGCTGGGAGCTGAAACAGAGCAGACAGCTGGCTTTCCCCGAAGGCTGTGGGGCCCCGCCTGCCTGTGCCCATATAAAGGGATAGGCGGAGCCCAGGGCCAGTCTCTGGAGGGGAATAAGTGTGAGCTGAGCAAACAGAGCAGGTGGAAGGCAGTCTGCTCAGCTGGCCCTGCTATCCGCAGCCCATTGCCTGCGACAGCCTCCAGCCCGGGACATGTCCCCATGCAGCCCTTGATGCTGGGTTAGATGCTTTGTTTCCAGCCTGGACCTTGGAGTTGGATGTTCTCCATCACACCTCCTGGAGACCTGCCGCACACTGCTCCCAGCCGGGATGGACTCTCAGCCTGAGCCCCTGACCTCTGAACCTGGGTCCCATGCAGACCCTCAGTGTCTCAGCCGTGGGTCTGGGTTCATTCAGTTCGGGCTGCTTACCTGGGGCTTTGGTGTGTCGGCTTGCCGCTTGTCCTCTGCTATCTGGAAAAGCAAGTCTCCCTGGTCCCTGCCTCCCTCCTCAGGCTTCCCCATCCCCAGAGGCGATTGTCTCCCTCAGATGAGGTGTTTGGCTCTCTAAGAGTCTCGCTGTCGCTTTCTGATCCCCTCCCATCGCATTCCAGGGCCAGATCATAGCTGGGCCTCACCCTCCTCTCACCTCGGAGAGGGACGGGCACAGAGTGGGACTCTGGACTGGAGGGAGAAGTTGGCAGCTGGACTACTGGCAGTGGTGCGTGAAGCTGGGAGCCATGCGGTGCCATCTTGTCCGCAGCCTCTCAGGTGCTGCTCTCCTCCTTATCAGTCTGGCTCTCCTGTCTGTGAGGCATCATGGTGTTCGGGACACAACCCAGTACGAAGGGCTCAGCAAAAGGGCATCAGCGAGCCCAGCTAAAGCACCCCCAGAGCATAGAAGAGAAGCCAACAGCAGCAGGCAGGGGCAGAAAGAGTCACAGGCCCCTTTGAATGGGAGCTCTGGTGCCTTGAGAGGTCTGGAACTGGAAGAGATTTTCATCGCTGTGAAGACAACCAAGAAGTTCCACCAGAGCAGGATGGAGCTGCTCCTGGACACTTGGATATCCCGGGCAAGAGAACAGGTGAGTGTACGGGCAGAAGGGTGGACTGGCAGGTTCGTTGCAGCAACAGGCCTCTTTGGGGACAGCAAGAAGGGTGGATCTAATGTCTGAAGGGAGGAATAAAGGACCAGCGGGCTGAGCACTTCTTCAGCACATTGCCTTCACCGTTGTGTATAGAAGTGAGGACACCCAGGCTAGGCAGAGGGCTTCAGTGACTCTGGGTGTGAACCCAAGTTCAAGGGGGCCTGAGAGGTTTGTTTGGACAGAGGAGTGGCATTTGACATACACCAGCTCTCCCTTACTTAGACGTGACTTTTCTCAGGGGTTTTACCCCATTTAAATCCCTTTTTTCTCAGGAATGC